CTGAATTTGGAAGGGACCCCAGAGATCATCTGGTTTCATTATCCATCTATAGCCCGATATCCCCTACAACCAAATGGCTGTCCCATCTAGGCTTGAATACCTCCCAGTGATGGGCAACTCATAACTTCCTTAGTTGGACATCTCTAAGTGTTGGAAACTTTGTCTTTATATTATGGATGAATGCACAGGCATACTTAGGGAGAACTGAAAAACTGGAGGGAATGAGGAATGAAGAATTGGGACCCTGAAGACTAATCTGCTCATCAAGAGCTATTCCAGCTGAGAGGTCACCTAACTCTTATGTATGCCTGAAAAAAGGGATCGCCTTTCTATGAGGATGACACCACCTCTTATCTAGTGTGTCAGCAGATAAACACATTGATAAGCCTAAAATGAAACCCTGGCACAATTCTAAGATGACATATAGGCAATTACAGAATAGGCATTAAGAATGTAGGCTTTGGAATTAGACAAATCTGTATTTAAATTCTGACTCTGCCACTTAAAAGTTGTGTGACCTTGGGCTAATTATCTAGTCTCTGAGTTTAGTTTCCTCATCTGCTAAATGGGGATAATTACATTACCTGTGTCACATGGGTATAGTGGGAGTTAAAAAAAATCATATATGAAAAGCACATGGCACATAGTAAATGGTATTGTTACAAAACAATGGGTTTTTGGTTGTTGTTTGTTTTTCCCAAAATAATGGTTTTTGAGCCTATAGAAAAGATGAAATTACAGCCAACCGTGGTTTCACTAAGAAAAAGTTATGTCAAACCAATCTCATTTTTTTTTTTTTTGTTTCGTGCAGCTATTGAGTATATTACATACTTGTTAACTCTTGATTTTAATCAAACTTTAACTGGTGGATTAAATGGTCACATGTAGGCTGAATAGCAGTACGGTTGAGTGGATCTGTAGCAGCTTGAACTAGGAGTACCAAAGTGGCCTGGTACCGGCCTGTGGCCTGTTAGGAACTAGGCTGTGCATCACCACCTGAGCTCCACACCGCAATACCCCCCACCCAGCCCCCATCCATGGAAAATTGTCTTCCATGAAACCGGTCCCTGGTGCCAAAAAGGTGGGGACCACTGAATTAACAGACTGGTATTCATCTGCAGGACACTCTATAATGGAATGCCATGAGGCTCTGTCCTTCCCTTGTCTGATCCAACAATCATATTAAAGGTTAGAAAGAAAATATAAAAAACACCATGCTGGAAAGACAAGCCACTACACTAGAGTAAAGATTCAAATTTATCTTGCTAAAAGCCAAGAAAACGAAATGAAAGGGGGATATTGTGCATTCAGGTAAAAAAGAAATCAATGTCACCAGATGAGAGAGGATTGGTTGTAGAGTGGTTCACGTGGCAAGACTCATCTATGCATTCATTCATTCATTCATTCCATAACTGGTGGAGTAACCACTCCAAGCTGGCCACGCTGAGGAAGTATAAAGATGGAAAACTAAAGCCCCACTCTCACAGAGCTCAGTCTAGTGGGGAGATAGATCTGGAAATGGTTTTTTAAAAAATGATTAAGTGTTAAGATGTATAAGGAATAGTATGATAAGAAAGAGAAAGTCACCTAATACTGCTCTACAGAGGTGATACTGAGATGAGAACTGACGGACCAATAAGCCTTTGTCAGATAACCTGACATGGGAAGAATTATTTTCTAGCTGGGCTTTAAAGCACATGCAAAGGCCCTTTTTGACCCTAAACAACAATGTTATGTGCACATTTGGGATTTGGAAAGAGTGAGACACAGAGACACATCAGGCCTGGCATCTCACGTTCCAGGCTGAGTGCACTCCTGGACACGCCTGTACCTTACCATAGGTGATGACAAGCAGCACAAAGTTGAGGTTTTTGAAGAGCCGGACGATGGAACTTAAGTACGAAGCATCAGGGGATGCCAAGGAATAGCTCAGGGATTGGGCTCTGCTGGGGGCATGTTTAGGCTTCTCCTTGAATACTGAAAGGAAAGAAACAGAGATGACTAAAACTTCCCATGGTCCCACCCCAGCAGAGCTCGCTCCACAGGGACAAGAGCTGGCTGCATCATCTGATAAGGAGCTCAGAGTGCCAAAGGAAATATTCATTCTTGATTATATCCTTTACAGCCTCCCCTTTTGAACTGCTTCTCATTATCTGAAGCTGAGCAGATGGTCTTTTTTTTTTTTTTAAGACACAGTCTTGCTCTGTCACCCTGGGTAGAGTACAGTGGCGTCATCTTAGCTCACAGCAGCCTCAAACTCCTGGGCTCAAGTGATCCTCTTGCCTAAGCCTCCCAAGTAGCTGGGACTACAGGCATACATTACCACACCCAGCTAATTTTTCTATTTTTAGTAGAGACTAATATTTCTATTTTTAGTAGACACAGGGTCTCACTCTTTCTCAGGCTGGTCTCTAACTCCTGAGTGCAAGCGATCCTCCCCCCTCAGCTTCCCCAGAGTGGCAAATGGTCCTTTGATTACTCTTTTCTTAATGGCCTCTGGAAGGCCGAAACCACTGGGCCTCCCAGGCAACGTTCAAAGACCAAGGAGTTCTGTAATAACCAGCAAATAACATACCACAGAGCAATGAAAACACACACTAGCAACGCACGGATGGAAAAGAAGCAAAAGCTGAAGCTCTGAGATTCGTGGCCGTGTTAGGAGCTCAGCGCCAGAGCTCCTCCCAAGGGCACGAGGACTGTGCTGCCCACGCTTAGCACAGAGCCTGGCACACGGCGGCCAGTAAGTACCCCCCGAATAGGTGAAAGGGATTTTCTTCTGTAGGAAAATCCTGGAGGCTACTTCGAGTTTCTCAATGGCAGAATCAGCCGTCTGCCTCATGAAGGAGACAAGATTAACATATGCTCCTCCTGAGGGGGACACTCTGATTTGAAGGCCGGAGAGGGACAGTGGAAAAACCACTCCATTTATATTCTGTTTTCAGTACCACTGCTGTGACCATTTTGACTGCACTCACTGCCATCCGCTCTCTGGGGGGCAGATCAGTTTAGCCAGCTGTTTGACTAAGTTGATCTCCTCCCCACATGCCCTGAGAAGCTCCCGAAAGGTCAAGAGACTGTCTCCAGTTAGAGGAAGCTCCGGAAGTGAGCTTTACTCTCTCAGCAGATCAAAGGGGCCCCCACCCAGAAAACACCCCAGCGCAGACTTCAGAGCCCCTGCTTCCTCCTCCTCCGGAAATAGTCCTGGATATTTTCCACCCATAGGGGCCTCTCAGCCATTGTCTTGCAGGGCCACCTCCCCTTCCATCAGTGCAAAGAATGCAAGGAAGAAGCTTACTTATCTCTGCATCAGCAGGTGTTGGCTTAAGGATTTGGTAGCCACAACCAGAATTCCGATAAGATTTTTCAGTTCTTTACTCAGTTAGCTATTATCTGTGCTTGAAAATCAAATGCCAAACATAGAGAAGTTCTACCTCCAGGTTTTCAACTGCAAAGGACCTGGCCCTCATCTGCTATGAACACAAAACTTTGGAGCTGGATGTTCAAAGTCTGGCGGCCAGGCCCTGCTGTGTGGTTCTTCCTTGCTGTCTTCCTCAGTTCCCTGGCTTCCTACCTTCCCAGGAGCACCAAGGTCTCTGTCTAAGACATTCTGCCAGCTTTTAAAAGCCAGCAGGCAGCCTTTGTTCATCCCGGACTCCAGGGAGGAAATGACACAGTGAGAACAGGTAAATGAGGGACACAACGACAGAACTGTTGGACTCTGGAGGCGGGGCCAGCAGACAGGAATGAAACCTTTAATACTTCGGGTGGAACTTTCAGGTATTAGGAAGAAAGCTGGTTCACCTTTAGACAGGCGACTAACTGAAAACATAAATCTCTACCATGCTGTTTCTGAATTTACCACAGCCCTTATAACATCATTCAGCTGAAAAAAGAGGATATAAAGTTCTATTACCAAACACTTCAATGATTAAATGTACATCACATAAAATATTGATAGTAAGGCTGGAAGCAGTGGCTCACGCCTGTAATCCTAGCACTCTGGGAGGCCGAGGAGGGAGGATTGCTTGAATCAGGAGTTCCAGACCAGCCTGAGAAAGAGCGAGACCCCATGTCTACCAAAAATAAAAAAAATTGGGGCAGAAAAAAGTGGGGCATAATGGCATGTACCTGTAGTCCCAGCTACTCGGGAGGCTGGGGCAGGAAGATCACTTGAGCCCAGGAGTTTGAGGTTGCTGTGAGCTAGGCTGACGCCATGGCACTCTAGCCTGGGCAACAGAGTGAGACTCTGTCTCAAAAAAATAAATAAATAAAATATTGATAGCAGTTATCTGAGGTTGGTGGTTGGGATTGACTCATATAAAGATAATGGTCATTCCTTTCTTTAAGTTTTTTTGTATAGATTTTTCCATAATGAGCATATATTATTCTTATAATTTTTTAAAAAATCATTAAAGAAATATGGTCCCCAAGTATTGTCAGGTTAATTTATGAGATTATTAGTGTTTTGTGGGTCAATTTGTTTTGTTTTTCAGAAAGTTAGAGTAGGAAGTTAGACACGCTTAGACTTGAATCCAATCTCTGCCACTTACTAGCTATCTAATCTTGAGTAGGTTAGTCGACCTCCCTTAGGTCTCATTTTTTTCTCTTTGTTAAACAGGACTGATAATGGTACCCCACCCACAGGGGTGTTGAGGACTAAATGAAATGAGGCATGCTTAGCAAATGCCTGTAATATTGTAGGTGCTCACCGGAAATTCATCCAGAGGACCAGCAGTCTTCCCATTACTTCTGGTGAGGTAGGATTGGGGAACCGTTAATTACAATTTAACCTTTCCTAAGCCGCTAGCAAAGTGCACAGGACCAGCTAGCAGTGTACCAGGGGCAACTGCTCAGGCTATGATATTTGAAGGCCATAAGAAGACCAGCCTCCAGTTTCTGTGAATGTCCATGGTATTTTGGAGCACATTCACAAGGGCCCACCGAGGTCAGCAGAACCCCCTGCCCCCCTCCCCCACCCATCAGTCTACTAATGTCCTTACCAATGATGACAAGGATGAAGAGGAGAGTGGCCACACCACCTATTATGTAGAACATGATGCTGATGTGGTAGGCAAGCTTGTCCCGGTCTTTGATGTTCGGTACCAAAACAGGAGGGACCAAGAACCCAATCGCAATTCCAAGCTGTAGAAGACAGGACAGAGATGCTTAATCACAGTTACCAGCGGCCAAGGGGTGACAGCACAAATCTAAAGAGACTGCTCATGAGAAACATAATTCCCAACTTGCATTCCTTCCTTAAACCCAAACACGGATTATTTCCCTACTTCAAGATACTAGAGAAATTTTTCTTTTGACTGACTATTGGACTCATACATACCTCTGAGCATCCTCACTATCGATGCCTATTGGAAACATTATAGCTGATGGTCTCAATGCAGGCTGGCTCTTCTCTAGTTGCAAACTAATGAACAATCTATATGCCCATCTCTGGGGTAGAGTAAAACAATGTTGATTTTTTTTCTTGTGCTATTAATATTTAAATTTTTAGTTTCATTGAATCTGTTAACCCCAGAGCAGAGAGACCAGCTGGAGAAAAGTTCTATGCCCTACAACCCCAAGAACTTGCATTCAGTAAGAGTAGGAAGCCTAAAGTTGTTAGCATTTACAAACATGAAAGTTTCAGTTAATCGTGTGAATAACTTAGCAACTTCCAAAGCATGTGCAGTGTGAGGTCATGCATAACTGCATAAATTTATACACACGAGACATGGGCACCTGCAAAATGTCTATAAACAGCGCCCCCCCCAACAAATGAAAACATCTCATATCTGGGCTGGAGTCCAGACTCCAGTGACCCGACAGATAATGTGACTTGGGTGTTTCTGAGGTCAGAAATGCTTCTGAAAAGCCCTCCTGCCATACATAAATCAAGGCAGAAACTGGGAAGATAGCTTGTGAACTCAGGCAAGTGCCGAATTCCAAGAGTGAAGGATGATGAGTAAATCCTTTGTCTTAAGGTCCCACTTTTCCTTTATTGCCCTTGAGAGGAACTGCGGGCAGAGGAGCAATTTGCTTTCCCTCCACACCATCACACCATTCATCAGCGGCCAGTTTGCAACCGCCTTGACTGGTCAATTACACTCAGCTGGTTACTAGTGGTTCTCAGTTCTGGAATATTCATAAAAGTCATCATCAATAGGCCCCGTGTAGGCTCTTTATGCCAATACATAATCAATAAACCAAACACACCTTTAAAGCACCTACTATGTGCAAAGCACTCTGCTAGATATTTTAGGAGGTACCAAGATGTATAAGGCAGGGTTCCAGCCTTCAAGGAGCTTTATAATCTATCGGCAAGAAAAATTGTAAAACAAACATACAAAAGATAACACAAATGGCTATATTTGCGTGTTGCAATGATAGAATGCTATAGTTTGAAAGGACTTTTGTAAGCCTCTAGCATAACTCAATAATTATAGGGCCAAACGGAGGCTGAGTGAGGTTAATTAAGCTCGATAAGAGACTTGTCCAGGGTCGCCCAGAGTTCTAGCAGAGTTGAGGTGAGAAAACAGATCTCCTGGCCTCTTAGGCCAGTGCCTCTTCCGCTCTGCCTGGCAGGAAGGGCCTCCGGGGGTAAAGCCATGAAAAAGACCAGGAAAGCAGGTTTCTCTAGAAGAGAAACTTATGCCATGTTCTTGGAGCTTTACCTGATCCTTGGTCACGCTGGTTTGTCAGAGTCAGGCTTCTTAACTGCTGCTCGCCAAGACTTTGATTCAGGGTAAAAACCAGCCGTAGATAGGGGGGCAAATATGACCTTCTTCATAGCTGGGAACATGGGCCCATTCCAGGTCTACCTGGCGTCCTAACCGCTTTGGAGTTGGAAGCCTAGAAAGTAAGTAGAGTCTCGGAGGGTTCTGTTTGCAAGACTGAGGGATGATACCAACATCATCCAAGGCTCTGTGACTTTTATTTCTGTTTGGAAAATAAAAACCCTGAGACCCTGATACAGGATAAACTAATGCCCAGTAATCCTTTGCCTGGATCAATAAATCCTCCCAGCTCGTGCTACACTGCATGCCTTGGCCTCAGGGGCTGGACTCCGGTCACCCCATCCACACACTAAGCCTGAGTGAGTGCTATTCCACTCCAGCTCCAGCTTCGAAGCCCTCTGCAGCCGTCAGGATGAAGTAGCAGGGCTTAGAGGCCCGCAGTAACCCCTGGCCAGATGGCAACGCTTGTCCCAGTAACCTTTCTCAAGGAGGAAGTTGGCTTGGTAAGTACTTGCATGCCCGGTGTGGGAAACCAATACATAGGGAGTGGATTGTAAGCTTCTGTCTCTTTTGTTTTTTCAAGATATGTTTTTTCCTGCTTTTTGACAGCAGTGTTCTAGAAACAGAATAGTCAACTAGTCTATTTCTAGTTCCTAGTTCTTATATCTGTCCTGTAGAAGGTACTCATTCATGTGAAATGGATGGATGGATGGATGGATGGATGGACAGACAGACATTGGTGGAATATCTTATCTACACAAGGCTGGGAATATCACACAAGTCTGCCCTTTAGGGTCCAGTTTCTTTCTACACTGTATCCACAGTGGCAAGAAAAAAAATGTGTGTATGTGAAAGTAGGGAGGAGATAGGATAATCTACCATTTTCTTGAGCATCTACGATGTACTGAATATGTAATATACTTTCTCTTTTAATGTAACCCCAATAACTTTACAACAATAAAAAAGAGAGGAAAACTGATGTTCAGCACTCTGCCCAAGGTCATACAGGCAGGTAGCCGAAGAACTAGGACCCTAAGCCAGTTCAGTCTGACCCCAGAACCCAGGCTCACCTTGCCACCTTCCATGAAATGTCTGCATGATGCTAGTCAACACAGAAGTCTACATTTTCACCCATTTGAGTGCTGTCACCATTTGATAAGATATCTCTAGGGTAAAAATCAGAGACCTGGAGCCCAAGTCAGTACAACATTAATTCAAAGAGGTGGGAGAACACCACTTCTGGAGGGTGGTGCTGGCAGCTTTCCCGTGTTCACAGAAGACCCAGAGACCTGGGTTGGGAACATAAATGACTGAAAATCACCGCTAGCTGGTTTTGAGTTGACTTAGGTCCCTGCACTTGTTCTAGTTGTATCATTATCAACCACACATAAAGTCATGAGCAAAATACAAAATTCACAATCAAACCAAGTCACAGTCTCAGCTCTTTGGAAATTACTTTTTAAAAATTGCTTTTAAAGTGGAGTTAGGCTCTTTTCATTTTTACCTATCCCACAGAGCATTTCCCAAGCTTGCCTGATGACAAAGGTCATCAGCCCCAATCCTACTGTCATTCTGCAGGTCTGTGTGGGTCCTGAGTACCAGTATTTTCACATGTAGGCAATCCTTATCGCCATGAAGGGACTGGGGGAGACACTGGCCTCTGGTTCAGGCCTCTGGATGGCTTCCATATGGCTCTGCTCCTCACATTCTCCCCTGTAGCCAGCAGTCCTTGGGAAATGTGATCAGACCACGTACCTCTTGTGCTTAAAACCCTGCAGTGACTTCCCCTTGCTTTTAAACTAGGGGTAAAAATCCCAGCACAGCCTACAAAGCTTTGCACATGAGCTCTGCCTACTGGTCTGCCCCTGGTCATCTACGTGCTCCTTGGGATGCTGCCACACTGGCCTCCTTTCTTTCAAAGCCCCTTCATACCTGAGGACCACGGGGACTTTGCACCCACTCCTCTACCCAGACTAGAATGCCCTTCCTGCCATCCTTCAGGTCAGAGTTCGAGTCGTACTTCCTCGGGGAAGATGTCTCTGATCCCTCACATGAGGTTAGGCCACTGCATAGCTAATTTTATATTTGTATGATTATTTAACTTATATGTCTCCCCAGCCAGACTACAAGCTCCACGAGGGCGGGGCTCCCATTTATCTCTGGAGTCTGGCACATAATACTACTAATCATAGTAAAATGTATGGAGCTTGACATGGAATATTTCGATCCTCACAACCACCCCTGAAAGAGGGGTCTAACATTGTGCCCATTTTATAGATGATGAAACCAAGATGCAGGAAAGTTAAGTAACTTGTCCAAGGTCACACAGCTATAGGTATCAGAGCTGGAGTTTCAACACACAGCAGTTCTGAAGTTACATAAGCTTAATAACTATAGTTTACTTCACCTCCAAAAAAAGGTTTTTGGCAAAAACGTGATGAATGAAGGAACGGAGGTACCCCGTGATACTCAATGTACATTTTCTATTTTATTTTTGTCCTTTCTGCAAACTCAAGGGTGATCACTAAATGCTGCTGCAATGTCAGTAGTCAGGAGCATGTCACAGTTCAAAACGTGTCTGTGCTGCCTGAGGGCTTTGCAGGGGCGGGCGGGGGTGGGGGGGCGACAAGAAGAAGCCATACTTTGTGTGATGTATCACCTGTCACTCCGGCTCATGCATTTGGTAGAGCAAGAATAAAAACAGAGACCATCAGGTTACATCTGGGGTAAGTTTCCCGCACCCAACACATTACAAAACACAACACACCTGTAATACTGGCTCTTCGGTCCACAGAATCCCTGTCCCCACCCACCATCGATAAAGCCCTAAGTCAAAACTGATTCGGAACCCTTGCGCAAAGCTGCCCTCCTAAATCCTGGCTGGTCACGGGGTCAGAATATGGCCAGGCCATCAAGGGAGGACCCCAGGGCTTCCACGAAAGCTCTGTGCTTTAGGATTGATCATCTGAGGCTGGGCGCAGTGGCTCACACCTGTAATCCCGGCACTTTGGGAGGCTTCAGCAGGAGGATTGCTTGAGGCTAGGAGTTTGAGACTAGCCTGGGCTGCTGTGAGAGCCCATCTCTATAAAAAAAGTAAGAAAAATTAGCTGAGTGTCGTGGTGTGCACCTGTAGTCCCAGCGACTCAGGAGGTTGAGGCAGGATGATCACCTGAGCCCAGGAGTTCAATGCTGCAGTGAGTGAGCTATGATCAGGCCAGCACTCCAGCCCGCAGTCAATTCAACTAGACTGAATTGAAGCAGCAGTTCAATTAGATTGAACCCTAATTTATCTTTTATGTGGCTCTGATTTTAAAAGGACCCTCCACCAGAGGATCTGGGATGGAGTCGGTGTGAGAGGACGGTGTCAAATATGACTAAGAGAATTGAGAAAGTGCATGTAGAAGGAGCCAG